GATTCTCCATTTAAAACAGCATAAAATGAATGCAAAGTGGGTGTAAATTGTTACTGTGACGTTGTACCCCATAATGCTTTATGGAAATATGCTTCTGAAAGTAAATATGACATAACTGGAATATGTTTTATTCTAGATATGCCATGTAACATCTTTGCAAACGTTATGATCTACTGGATATATTCATCCTATTTGTATGCAGGTATCATTTTTGTATTCGAAGTTATGAATATTGGCTATGTACTTGTTTAATTTTAAGTAGCCTCAGTGAAGTTGGAAGACTATTCTCAGTAAGTGCCCAATCAAGAAACACTTAAGCTAACAATGAACTTGGAGATGCCAATCCACATCTGAGCTTTCCTGGGAATGTGGCCTGGCTGGTAAGGGACTGAGTCATGCATGGACATGTGACTTGCCCATGTGACTCTAAAACTCCATCTTGGAGCTGGATTCTGGATAGGAGAGAGGAGGGGGTCTCCACCCACAAGAGAAAGTCTATTTAAGCCTCTGGGAGACCCCTCCATTTTGACTGCAGCTAGCTCAAGAGATAGCCTCTCCACCCCCAAAGGATACCTGAAAGAAACTGGAACAAAGGACAGTAACCACAGGGGTGTGAGTGATTGCTGGACCCAGACTAGAAGGAGGCTAATCTGTAAAAGAAGTTTACTGGAACATCTCTGAGGGTGAGAATTCATCTGTAATCATTTTCTTACTGTATTAGGTTTAGACTGGCATGTTTTATTTTATTTTGCTTGGTAATTCACTTTGTTCTGTATGTTATTACTTGGGACCACTTAAATTCTACTTTTTGTATTTAATAAAATCACTTTTTACTTTTTAATTAACCCCAAGTATGTATTAATACCCGGGGGTGTGTGTGTGTGTGTGGGGAACAGCCATGCATACCTCTCTATCAGTATTATAGATGGTGAACAATTTATGAGTTTATCCTGTATAAGCTTCAGACAGGGTAAAATGGATTTATTTGGGGTTTGGACCCCATTGGGAGGCGTGCATCTGAGTGCTGGAGACAGGAGCACTTCTTAAACTGTTTTCAGTTAAGCCTGCAGTTTGTGGGATGTAGTTCAAACCTGGGTCTGTGTTTGTAGCAGGCTAGCGTGTCTGACACAACCAGGCAGGGGTCTGAAGTCCCAAGCTGCCAGGGAAAATGGGCTGAGAGGTAGTCCCAGCACATCAATTGGCAGTTCCCAAGGGGCTTTCTGTGATCCAACCCATCACAGTTACCCTTCTGATTTAGTAGCATTTTGCATCTATGTTGCCCTGGTGTAAATAAAAAGACAAAGTGTAGGTCAACAGAGGATCTGGCCCCATCCCTTACTCTTATTCTTTCTGTGTGCCCCCCTCATTCCATGTGTTTCCTTCTCATGTCCCTGCACCCACCCTACACATTTCCTCCATTTCCCTTCACCTCCTTCCATTCCTAGTCCCCTGAATCTCTCCTTTATTCCCATTTGCATGGCCTGGACAGTATACCTCCTCTCCCAGTGCCATACATCTCCTCCTCACTCCTCCCCAAAATAATTCATTCAAGATCAAACAGCATGGTTCCATGACAACAAGTCAGTTTCCTGCCAATTCATGTCCCTCCCTGTCCACTACCCCCTTCTCCACACTTCCTGCCCCCTTCACATTTTCCGCATCTATGCCTCAATCAGTACCTTTTGAGCATTCATTTATAAACCTTTTAAAATAATTTTAAACATTACTCTGTAGACACATTCAAACAGCTCTGTATGAGTGTATCACAGGCTATACCTGTAAATAAGAGGAAAGGTGGGGGGAAAAACAAGAAAATAAAAACTGTAGCCTATCATTAAGAAAACATGGACTTTGTTTAACCAGGGATGCAACTGTGGGCTGAGCCTTCAGTAGATGCACCATACAGAGGCATAGCCTGGAGAGAAAAAAGGCAAAGATGACCACCCTGATTATCAGTTGGTCAGGGACCAACATGGACCACAGATACGGCAACCTCTCTTGTGCAGTTGATGGGTTGCTCTGCAACCCAAATCTCTGTAGCGCTCTCCGCTATGCCCTGCCCCTGGCAGGACCCCTATAGTGAGGCTTGGAAGGGGCCTGTGCAGGGCCGTTCTTAGCTGTCTTACACAGCGCTTAAATCAGGGAAATTCTCTCCCAGCCAGGGGTAAGAGGTTGTGAGGGGGTTTTACAACCTCTGTATGTTGCCATAACAACATACTGGGGCTGCAGTGGGAGGCAGAACCCCTCTCTAGAATATACATTTCCTTTTTTAATTATTTGTAGCAGGGTGGATTTGATTTAAACCAAATCGATTTAAATCATGATTTAAACCACTAGTCAGGAAGACTCAATTTAATCATGGATTTCTACAAAAAGTGCATTCTTGTTGGTTGTTATACTCTTAATACATATTTTTCACAAATCAGAGATAGATGTAGGTTTCATTTTTAGAAGGTACACATTATTCATTTTTAAAATGATTTATTTTGAAACCTTTTCAGATTAGTTTTATAGCTATATCAGAAAATGAATGACTGGTTATTTCATTTACTAAAGGTAACTCAAGCAGCTATTTATGAAGTCATTGGGAGGTGAACTATCTCCAATTCAACAGGTTAATCACTAATATTTGGAGGATTTTCTTGCCAAGCTGTATTAGGAGGATAACATCAGCAGACAGACATTTAAATTGTTTTATTTAACTAAAACAACAACGTATGTATTCTGGATTTCTCTCTTCAACAGCAAACATAGAATATTTTAACAAAACAGGCATATGAATTTTTGAATTTAGTTAAACATTCAAGTTTTTAAAAATCAGGTTTGTTTTTGTTAAAACTGTTTTTAACTAAAATAGTTAAATGAAATATATTTTTTTAAAAAAAACCCAAAATTAAATAGACTATGTCAGCCAGGTCAACACAAGAAACTTAAAATATTGGCTTCTGCAGCTAACTCAGTCATCTTCACCTTCATTTTTCTGTTTGTTTTTAATCTGGAAAAGACAAAACAAATTTTCCTGCTTTTTCAGGTCCCAAAGGATTTCTCAATTTGGAATGAATTAGTCCAAAGGAAGAAAATAGTCTTTCTACACTGGCAGAAGAAGCTACTGCTGTTAAAAGTGAGATTACCACTTCAATTGTCTCTGAATCCAAGTGCTTAAGTGATTTCCACCAGTTCACTGGTGTAACTTTCTTTAAAACATCATCAGCAAACAGATATTTCTTGACTGGTTCACCCTTAGCTCTGAAGTTTATTATAGTCGGCATTATGGAGGGATGATTGCTGGATGTCCATGTCATAGCCAACTCCTCTTCTTCAGCAGTTAAGGTTTGACCCTGGTACTGAGTATTGTGACTATTTGGAAGAAAATGAGCTGGAGATAGTGCTTATCCCATTCGTTTTTTTAATGCTTGTAATTTAAGTCTGTCATTGCATATTTCTCTTTTTAAGATCTCACTCTGTTCCTTCAAAATTTCAACAGCGTCAGCAATAAAACAGCTATTTCCCTGCATTTTGTTCAAGGCTACAGAAATAGGCTTAAGGATACTCAGTATGTGTTCAACATTTCCCTTAAGCCCAATTTTGAGAACTTTGGCTGTGACAGTGACATCTATTTTTTCACAATTTTGTTCACAAATTGTCATCAGATATAGTGCTCAAAACAGTCCACCACTGAGTTCCATCGCACATCTTGTGGGAGAGTTAGCTTGGTTCCTCCCACTTTTTTCAGAGCAGTTGCTGCAAAGTGGTTGTTACAGCAGTATTTTTCAATTTCAACAACATTAGCCTTTACTTCTGGAATACTGAAGTCTTTGGCTAGGAGGTGCATCAAATGAGCACTGCAACCATATGTTATTAGCTTGGGACTCTCTTCACTCTTTTCTAAATAACTTCTCATCTTGGATACATTTTTAGCATTGTCTGTGACTAAGCTGCATACTATATATTTGAATTCTTTTTCACCGTTTTTTGTTTTACTGCTACTTCTTGTAAGTATTCTGCTGTGTGTTCGTTTCCTGATGTATCAATAGTTTCTGTAAGGAAGACATTCCCTTCTTCTGTTGTCACACAAGCACATACAACAGGATCATTGTGGACATTGCCATCAAGACTCAGGTTAACAATTTTACCCTCTAGAGCTTTTGCACACTGCTCAATTCTCTTTCACACACTTTATCCAGCAATTTGCCTGTGACATCTGCTCTGTTAGGTGGACTATATCCTGGTCTTAATGACTGAATCATGTTAATGAAGTGTGGGTTCTCAATCATATGGAAAGGAGAGTTTGTTGCGTAAACAAACCAGGCAATTTTTTCATCAATTACCTCTTTTTGTAATCTGCTGGTTCTTATCACAAATTTATCTATGGTTGTTTCTGGATGATGGAGATTTTTTTTTCTTTTTGCTACAGGTGATATATTGTGGCTATGTGACATACATGATGTGACTGAAACACTATCATTGGCAGATAACTCTGAAACTATAGAAAATGATGGTGATCTTGAAGGTGGATAGTCTTCAGAATCCTATATGTTGAGGATGGATTCTCCTAAACAAAACAAGTCAATGCAGTTATTTAATTATTATTACCATACTGCTCATTTAGTATTACTCATTGCATTCACTGACACTCAGAACTACTTTAAAGGTGAAATTGTAAAAGAAAGATCTGCCTATTTCAGTTATTTATTTTTTTATCACAACTGCATTTAAAATGGCAGTACCATAGAGTAACAACTATACTTTTTGCTCAAACATGAGAATTCAAGAATAGTCCAGAAGGAAAAGAGGCAGTCCTTAAGAAAGAAGTATGAAATAAAAAAGTTTACCAACCTGAAGATCCTGCATGTTCAGACATGTTCCTTTCATCATCTTCAACACAGCTTCCTCCCGAGAAGGAACATTTCTCATGATGTTGTCTCATTCAGGCAACCATACCTTCCATTTCTTTGTTGCACTGTTTGCATTTTGCATGCATGCCTGTCTTACCCATAGGTAGAGGAACGTCATTAAAATAGTCCCAAACTGGGTCTCTTTTACAGCCTGCAGCCATTATAGGTTTTCCCTTCTAGTGAGAGAATGGTATGGTAGATCTCAAATCAATGAAGGCTACACTCAGAAAGACCGCAAGACTTCTGGAATATGGCTGCTCAAACAGTTTCACTTTTGTTTCTACTCCCTGTCCTGCCCTTCTCACATTTACTTCCAGATTTCTTCTCTTTGTCCAGATCTATTCCACCCTCAACAATCTTCTGTTCACTGAACTTTTTGAAACTTTGCACTTTTAGAGAGATGTAAGGGATTGACTCTGCGTACACAAATTTGCAGAGGGACAATAGGGTTGAGGTCTGTTATTTCTCACCTCTCTATATTATTTATTTATTTAAAAATGTTTTTGCTGTTAAGAAGCATGTTATCTCTGGAGACTCAAATCCACAGTTTGAGAACTGCAAAACTAAGCATTTCTGATGGTTGTCTTCTAGACTGAACACTGAGTCCCATTGGTAAAATAGATTAACTTAATAATCTATACAGAAGCCCCTGGAACTCCATAAAATTGGGTTCCTAATCTATGAACTATTGGAACTCATTTAAAAAACTTTTTTTAAACATTACATGAATATATTGTCTCATGCTATAGAATTAGAATTTATAATCCCTATTCCATGATGAGATATCTTTGAGCTAAAATGTATCGTAATTAAAACTCTCTTTAGATAGGTTTTTTCCTCAAAAAGCATTTTATCAAAAAATTCCGATTTAAATAAAAAAAATCAGATTTTTTTTTTATTTTTTAAAAAGAAATCATTGATTTTTATCCACCGTGATTTGTAGCATGGGCTAAGATGTGGCATGTGAAATTTCAGGGGGATTGCTTAGGGTGTACAGACTCTGAACATTAGGTTTATAATGGAAAGAAAACTTTCATTGTAATACGATCATACTATACATGGAGCAGGTACTGCTGATCAACAATAGCAGGTAGTTTTACACCAACAGGCTGATGACTCTCGAGAGTTATTCCAGCAGATTCTGGCCTTACGATAGGCTGACCTCGGAAAGTTCAGCATGATACAAAAGCCAAAACTTTGTCTCTGTGGCTAGCACTTGTGCTGTGAAACCCGTGAGAAAGATTTCATACAGGAGTTCATGCAAATGAGCTGGCTACCTCCTGCACTCTGCTAGTTCCAATTCTCAGGATTGTCTCTCTCCAATGGGAGCTGTGCAGTCTGTAGGAGTCACTAGACCTTAGCTTTGGAATGACTTCCCAGTGTGACCTTCAGTAGAGAGATGGACTGGTTCTGCCTTCCAGGTAATCTTAGGGTCGGATGACCTTTTTCTTCATTGCCCTGGCTGACCTCTGAAACTGCCAAACAGGGAGTCTTGCTTAGTGCTTTTAATCCTTAAATATCATTTCTTAGTTGACTGAAGTCGAGTCGGCCAGGGAAGGAAATGTTACTCATCCTGTGCAGTAACTGTAGTTCTTCGGGATGTGTCCCCCTATAGGTGCACCACTTGAGGTGCATACATGTCTCTTGAGCCCTTAATTGGAGATTTCTAGCTATCAGTGCTCATTTGGCCTGTGCACGCACCCTATGCCTTCTCGCGGCAGACATATAGGCGTTCGTGGGCGAACTGCCCTTTGTTTCTTCTCTACTCAGTCATTTCCTAGGGAACAACTGAAGTAGAGGATAAGGAGGGCAGGTGGTAGAGCACCCATCTCAAAGAACTACAGTTACTGCACAGGATAACATTTCTTCCTTCTTCGAGTAGTGTCTTTATAGGTACTCCACTTCAGGTGACTCCCAAGCAGTATTCCTAGGAGGAGGAGGGAGCTTCAGAACAAGATCCACAGCTGAAGATGGCTCTGCTGTACTAAGTACTGCATCAGATCTAATGGCACAGAGCAGGGAGTAATGCTTTGAAAATGTATGGACGGAAGACCAGATAGTAGCTCTACATATCTCAGATACTTGGCCATTCTTCAAAAATGCAGCACATGCCACTTGTGATCTGGTTGAATGCATGTTGAAATTGATAAAGTTATATTTGGCAAGGACTGCATGATAGTTTGCAATCTCAACCTGCAGGGTTGTGGATGCCTAATGCTTTTGTCCAAAGAGATCCAGTCGCTTTTGGTCCTTGTCATGGGGGTAGTTCTCAAAAAGTGCTGCTTATACCGTTCATTCAGAGCCATCCACCACAAGGGAGTTAGGAGAGGGAGGGGAAAATAAAAAGTCAGAGTCCATATGGGGCACGTAGTACTTCTTGTCTGCCCTTTTGCGCATTGGTGGAATAGTGGCCGGTGTGTGCCATACTGTCTTAAGTGGATCTGGAGAGCCTCATTAATAGGCAGCGCCACTCTGGAGAGTGTTGCTGACTGCAAAATATCTGGTGGCCTGTGCTGATGATCTTTGACCTCCTCCAGAGGGATCTGTAGAGTGTTAGCCACCCTTCTAATGAGGTCCTGGAATTGTCTGTACTCGTCGGTGACAGAAGGAGTGGGAGGCATGACTGCCAATGATGATGAAATGGGAGTTTCAGGGGTGAATTCCTCATCTGATCTAGCCTCCAGCTCCTCAAACATCTCCTCCTGCTGTGAAAGAATAGAGGGAGGATGCGAAACCCCAGTCTCCCTAAAGTGATGGTACCGGTGGTCTGCTGAATTCCTGCTTTTAGGTTGCCCAGGGGTCCCAATATGGCCACTTTGTGGGGGGAGGGGTCTATAAGGGAGCAGGGGTGCATACAGAGTTGGTCCTTGACAAGCCTCGAAGTTCTCCCTGCGCGAAAGATTCCGAAAGGGGTATGTAGGAGAACCCCTAACAGAAATTGAGGAAAGTGACAGGGAGCCCTCTTCTTCTTTTTCCACATCCTCCCATTGTAGTTGGAGGGGCAGTCAATGAGAATGTAAGAGAGTCCTGTGCCACAGAGTGGCCACTTAGAGACCGAGGTCTCAGTACCATGAACTGCTCTGTACCTGACAGCAAGGGGGACTCTGGTTCATCCAAGATAGAGCAATCCTTGAGTATCTGAACTCCTGCAGTACAAGAAAGAACCCTGGTACACACACTGTAGCTGAGGTTGCCAGGACTGGAACAAATGGTACCAGTACCGACGAGCGTACCGCAGGCTTTGTCAAGCGCCAATGCTTTCTCTGTACTGAGGGTACCACTTGTACAGACATCCCCGGCTGAGCTGCTTGCATCAGTACCGATGGTTGGGTTCATGGTTGACCGAGATGCTTCAGTGCTGATGACGGGGCCGAGCTCGATGGTACCTTGTGTTTACTCTCCTTACTAGCAGAGGGCATGGGCATCCTATTGGAGTTGTGCTTCCTCTCCTTGGAGCTTCGGGTCTTTATGGGCCTGCTGGTACTGGAGGAAGAGTCTGTGGCCTCAACGGTGCCCTGGAAGACTAGGGATGTAAATATTGTTTAAAAAGTTAACCATTTAAAGGATTAAAATATGTCGTTAAATTAAGCGGTTGGGGCCAATCCTGCCAGCTGGCGCGGCTGGGGTGCCTCATGCCAGGGCTGGCACAGGGCTGCTGGGGCCAGCCTGCCCACGGTTAACCGTTAAGACTAATGCTTACCGGTTTATCTTTTACATCCCTATCGGAGACCAAGAACCTTGATGGGGACCTGGTCTTTTTTGGAGCTGGCTCCTTAGATATAGTCTGTGTTCCTCTTTTCGGTAGTCTTCCTAGAGTGCTCCAAAGGCTTTCCTTTCTTAGGAGAAGCATACCCTGAGGTTGATGGGCTGCTAGATCTGTCAGGGATAGATGTGGGGCGAGTGTCATCTCCTGACCTGGCTCAGAGGGTGTTTGCAGGTTCCATAGCCAACAGTTTGAGCTTTAATTCCCTGTTCTTCTGAGCCCTGGACTTAAGGGTTAAACAAAAGATGCACTCTAGGAGATGCGGGACTCACTCCCCCAGGCAATGGACTCACTTGGAGTGTCTGTGGTTCACTGCTATAGCCTCCTGGCAAGAGAGGCAATGTTTGAAGCCTGGCAAGCCAGACATAGCCTGTCAGGAGGATAAGTCTCCCAAAGCAAAAGAGAGGGAAATCAGTCCTTCCATCTAAACTAACAACTACACTAACACTAACAACAACCCTAACTAACTAACTTTGATAGAAAAAGGGGATAAAGCGAAAGACTAAGAATGCTCTAGGTGAACATACTGGTGTTTCATCTTGGGCCAAGGCGGTAGAGAAGGAACAGAAAGTGGTTTGCCTGGGCACCCCTATATAACCTTGGTGTCCACCACAAGGAGGCATACAGCGCACATGAGGCTGATCAGACACTGCTAGCTAGAAATCTCTGATCACTGGCTCAAGAGGTGCATGTGCACCTGAAGTGGAGCATCCATAGGGATACTACTCAAAGAAGAACCTGCTCCCACATTAGCATATCAGGGGACTCACCCAGCATACTCAGTAAGGCCTTCAATGTCATTCCCTTAAGTCTGTTTATTATAGAGCAAGAAGTCTAAGCTTCTACTGTTGTGAAGGGGGCTAAATGTAAAATTCTTAATGCAGCATTTAGCAGCTGTTAGAGAGGTACTTCCCCTTGGAACTGAAATTTGCGCCTGCAGCTGTACAGATAAAGTATTCCTAAAGCTTATTTTCTATTGGATCAAGTTCTAAGATGGAGAATAACGTAGTTGCTGACCTCACATGGGAAATTTCTGCCAATATCAACAGTTATTTTCCAGTTCACAGCTGTTTTGTAGCAGTGATAATTTTGGAATTCTGGGAGTGTATTCAAAAGAATATGTCTGTGTGCAGTATATCATTGCACAATTTAACTTGCAAGCTATTTTTAAATAAATGCCCCGTTTCTTAAGTCTTAATCTCCCCACTCCTCCAGAGTCATAAAGGATCCCATCACAGAAGAATTAGTGTACTTCTCTAGTGGAGGAAATGTTAGGAACTAGAGCGGGGGGGGGGGGTAAATCTTATACACCAGTGGTTCTCAAAGCCAGTCTGCCGCTTGTTCAGGGAAAGCCCCTGGCACACGGGACCGGTTTGTTCACCTGCCGCGTAGGCAGATTCAGCCGATCGCGGCTCCCACTGGCCGCGGTTCGCCACTCCAGGCCAATGGGAGCTGCTGGAAGTGGCGGCCAGTACTGCGCCACTTCCCGCAGCCCCCATTGGCCTGGAGCTACGAACCACGGCTAGTGGGAGCCGCAATCGGCCGAACCTGCGGACGCGGCAGATAAACAAACCAGTCCGGTGCGCCAGGGGCTTTCCCTAAACAAGCGGCGGACCGGCTTTGAGAACCACTGTTCTACACTACAGAAATACAAGGTCTGCGTGGGCTCTTCAGGTGGCTGAGAGAAATCATGCTGTAGGTGCTGGGCAGGGACACAGCCTGTGGATCCACTGCTTGTAAGATTCTCTATTCCTTGGGAGTAAAGGGAAAGGGGAAGCAGAGGGAGATGCAAGGGCCATCAATGTTATTCCAGCCCTTAAGTTGGAATAGTGGCTTCAAATCGGCTCTACTCCTGCTCCCTGGCCTCCAAGGAGTTCTCTCCCACTTGGAATTCCCTAATGTACAGCTGAATTACTTGTTCTGGCAACTGGAGGCAGGATTTAGGCTGCAGGTACAACTTGATAGATGATCTTTTAGGTATTTAAATTTGCATGATGATTGCTCAGAAGAACCACTGATGCTCAGTTGATCAGATCATACGTGTCAAGAATAATTTTCTCTGAAACTGCTGTAAGAGAACAAAGCTTATTTTAATACTCTTCTATTTAAACTTGGAGAGTGGTCAGTTTAGATGAGCTATTACCAGCAGGAGAGTGAGTTTGTGTGTGTATGGGGGTGAGGGGGATGTGAGAAAACCTGGATTTATGCAGGAAATAGCTCGACTTGATTATGTAAAGAGTTGTCACTTTGGATGGGCTAGCACCAGCAGGAGAGTGAATTTGTGTGGGGGGGGTGGAGGGTGAGAAAACCTGGATTTGTGCTGGAAATGGCCCACCTGATGATCACTTTAGATAAGCTATTACCAGCAGGACAGTGGGGTGGGAGGAGGTATTGTTTCATATTCTCTGTGTATATATAAAGTCTGCTGCAGTTTCCACGGTATGCATCTGATGAAGTGAGCTGTAGCTCACGAAAGCTCATGCTCAAATACATTGGTTAGTCTCTAAGGTGCCACAAGTACTCCTTTTCTTTTTGCGAATACAGACTAACACGGCTGTTACTCTGAAACATCCCATGACTGATGTTACTGAAAATAAGCCTAAATTACGAAATATTTTTCCTTTGCCACCAGGATATTAGTGCCCTAGTCATTCTCATAGATAGCTCACCTATCTTGTGTAAAGTACACACAAAGCTGCACAATCACCTCATAAAATCTTTGAAAGGAAACAACTAGCTCTTCAGAAGAAATGCAGTAAAAACAAAAAGAAGAAAACTTTGTCAATTTACCTACAGGTACCATCTGTGGTGTTACACAAACTCCTTTTCGCTATTGTTAATCGGCACTCAGCTACTTCCATTAGAGGCATAAGAGTTAGAGGTCACTCACTTGCAGAGACTCGACTAGAGACTAATGTGTCTGAGTTTATTGTACAGGTTCAAAAACGGGGTCTGTGTTTGTTTAACACTGACTGCCTTTAATAACCAACTGGGAGTCCTAAGAATCCACTAAAGAAATCATGCCATAAACCAAACTGCATCAGAGTTTCAAAAAGCTACTACTGTTGAATTCTTTCAAAATGTAATGCACCATATTGAAAGCCTTACCAACAGGCAAGTTAAATAAGGCCAATCAATCAATCAATCAATAAATAAGCTGATTTGTTGCCACCTACCTGCTATAAAAAAATGAAACAAACATTTCAGTCTAATTGCAGGTTGAACATCCCCTCTATTTCTTATCATGGAGAGGATCAAAAGAGTAGAAAACCTACTATTAGGGCTCAAACTTTGTTTGGGGGAGGGCAGTGCTTTGATCAGCCAATATGACATCACCTCTCCTTCCCTGGATTGTAGAATCCTTCCTTCATGAACTCTTCACTTTGGGGCTCTTTGCATGTTTTCTGAGTGAGTGTGGCTGAATGAAGTCAGGAGTGAGCTACTCTCTGTAGCATCATCCTATTTCAAATCTGTCAGCATTATTATCTTATGCAGATTTTTGCTCCACAACTGCCATCCCCTTGTGGGGGAAGAGGCCATCTCAGGTGCAGACGAGGAACCAACTGGAGTATCGCTCATAAGGGAATGGTAATTATAACAGCTTTTGGGACACTCCTGGATTGAGATGGCCATGCCCTCTGCTCATACCATGGAGTGGGAGCTTGTGGCCTTTCCTGGCTTTCATGTGGAAAGGCATAATTTAACCCTAGATGTCTAGATGAAGACTTTTAAAACTTCGCTTTCTAGGTCAATGAGCTCCCCAGAAACTCCTTGCCTTTAAAATTTTATTTTTGTTGCCCAATTAGTTATTCTGCAACAGACTCTATAGTTACTCATAACACTCAAGTCACTAAAATACTCCTCTTTCCCTTCATATCAAAGTATAGTATACTTTCTTTCATCAATTAGCATTTCTTAATTTTAATGATAAATCTTAGGTTTTTCAGTGATATAAAATGGAAGACTAATCAGCTGAAAACTATTCATCACCCAAAATATAACCTAAAACTGAACACTGTGTATGCTACCTCAGAGCAATTTTTGCAACTACTTGTAATGAAATGATTGATCAATTTTACCTGAGGTTAATGTTAACTTATTCTAATATCCCAACCCATTAATAGTGCGAAACAAATCCTATGATGAAGCTTATTTAGCTGGATACAATTCTTTCACAATTTTGTACTACTATGGAGCAGGGAATCAATCAGAAATATATGTTAAAAGAAATCAGATGTAGAAGTGGTTCAAAAACACAAGCATTATTTTTTCATAAAGAAAACTGCACATTTTGCAACTACACCACAGGACATAACCGTGAAAAAAAAACAAAACACTCTGTCTGCTGTGTTTGGCTTGTAGAAAACTAATGTGGAACTGAAGGAACTCTTGGAAATGTTTACTTTTGATTTTGCCTGTATTACAGATAATTTGTACATGAACAGGCCACTGGCTCCTGTTGGTTTTAACTGTCAGTTATAATCACTTTAAGCCTAAATGTTTACAATAAAAAAGTAAAAGACCTTATTCATACCAGTTGTGGGCTTTAAAGTGAAAAAAATGTATATGCGATGAGGGAAAATAAAATATGACCTTTTGTATATGCTGCTTTGAGTGATTTTGTTCAACCTAGTAAAACAGTGAATCTCTTATATGTAAGAGGTTTTCAAGAATCTTTTGATTCTGTTTCAAATGTTGAGAAGTCTAACAACAAACTCAATGGTAACTGTCAAGCAACGGATTAAAGTTTTAAAAAGCACATGGGCAGAATATACAATTATGCCATAGCTATTTTAGGTTTGAAGTCAGTAACTACAGCAATGAAACACCAGAAAATAAGGGTTCTGCAAACAAGCACAGCCTCTTTGAGGAATAGTTATTTGTGCATGTCATTCGCATCTTTTCTTTCCTACTCACTTAAATTACAACACCCACAATTTTCACAACAATGGTATCAGTCATGAATCTCAAATTTTGACAATTGAACATCGTACACCCTACACCACTAGTTAAAATTAAAGTTCTTAATAAAACTGTTGCTGAACTTCAGAAATGAAAATGCAAGTAACTATGTGTCAGTTCCCATACAAAGGGCCAGATTTAGATTTTCTTCCTCACACTGAAGAGCCCCTTTTTCTACAAGTAGTCCCATACTTTTATTTTGCTTGTTTTCGCTCTCTGGTTTTGGCCTTGTACCATTCTCTTTGAATGACCCGTTTAAAGGAGGTTCACACCTTATATGGGTTTGGAAGAGTGGTTATTAGAATATAATCATTAAGGGCAAACCTCTTAGCTATCATTAGCATGAAAAAACAGGTGAGTATTTGAATTGCAGCAACAGCTCCTAAGATGGTGGGTGTTTTTGTTTTTTTTTAATTTAAGAAAAGCCAGGGAGCCTGCACTACTGTTATGAAAATCTGGTACCCATTAGAGTTGAAGCTCTGCCATAAGGGATCCATGAATGGCCACAGAATTTGGGTTACTGGGAGAGAAGCTTATAAAAATAATAAATACTAATGTAAAAATATTAATTATGTTAATACAGCATATTGCTTATACTAATCTCATGATAGCTCATTTACAGGTTAATTACTGTATCTCTTGAAACAAATTATTTGTCAATACTGAGAAATTTAGCTACAGCACGATTATAGGAATTATTATTAGAGCATATACCATTTATATAACAATACTATTGATATTGCTCTGTAACACAAACAGTATAAAAGAACAATTTCTGCAAGCTTTTATTTATGAGAGAAAATTGTTTATATTTAAAAATATGAACTGATGTAAAAAGCAGTCATGAGTCTGTGAGGGATACATTTTAATGCTTGTATACACACACACGGTTAATAACAGTAGACAAATGAAGAAATAACTTTCAAAAAAGTTTGAGGACAAAACCTGTCTTTTCATGTTAGGATTTACAGCTCAACAACGCTGTAAAAATTAGGAGGTAAAAATAAATAAGTAAGCACAGAAAACTTTTATGCTTGCTATAATTAATATAATAAAGCTAGGCCTCACCTTCATTGTATGGTATGTACAGTCATGAACGCTTTTAGTTTCTTCCCTTCTAAGTAAGCATTTGTTACTTGCATGTAGTTTAGAGTACTTCTTGAATCTGCTCTGTCTTGGCAATGGAAAGCAGGACAATCAGTACTCTAGCAAACTGCTTACATCCTATTTTGCCATTCAGCAGCCAAAACAGGCATTATCTTAATTACTGTAATAAAACAGAAAAACCAGCCTACTTCCCTTTTATTTCTGTGATCTGACATTTGCTATTTTCCTGGACAAAAACCCTGTATATTTCTGCATACCGCTGTTCTAGTTTGTAATTCACAGTCTAGATTCATTAAGGGTTACATGCTGCCCAGTTCTGTTTTGAGATAAGATTCAGTAGCAACAACACAGCTTCTGTATTGATGTCACACTCCATTTCCACATTACATTAGCAAGGGAGCTTGTAAATAGTTCTCACATCAAGCAATGGCAAATATACTCTGTAAACTGATGCTCCAAGAAGCTTGATGATTTGAGAGGGGTTTATTTGCAATATTCTCGTTGTGCAGAACCAAGTTTTATCATTGAGTCTGTGTTATTGTTAGTTTATTTTACAGTCCTTAACGAGAACAAGATTTGGATACAACAAGCCCTTATGATGTACTACATCTGAAGAATTTCCTTCCTCCCCTTTGCATCAGTTATACAGTTCTTCATTCAGGGCTCATAGAAAATTACGTCTTTGGCTATTTAATTTTTCATGTATTTTTAACATGGGTCTTGATCTTGTAAGTCCTTATGCAGTGCATGGCATGGTACGGTGAGTTGTTACATTTCAGTATGAATGTAAGCAGAGGCTACTGATGGTGACAAGTGAGCTTAAGCGTTAGCCATAGTCTTCTGCACAGAGCTTCAGCTAAACTTCTTGTGTATTCAGTCTTATTCACACATACTCAGGTTAAAAAAAGGGGTAGGGAACATGTGAAGAATGGGCACATCTGAAGAGAAATAGACATAAGCATGATCCTCGGTGTGTTGATGAAGAACTTGACTCCATGT